CTAGATATTATCTCTTCATCGTTTTCTTGGTCTGCCGCATGATCTACAACAATTCAACTCCCTTGTATAATACAGATTTTACCTCTCTGTCAACTGATATTCTCCTGATATGGCCCAGCCATTTCAGTCTTTTAGCCCTCATAATCTCAATAATCAATGATGATTAAAGCAGATTAGGAACTGTGTTGTTGCTTCTCACTCTCCTTTCCCCATGGCATGGTTACTGTAACTTCTATCACCGTTTTAAGATTTTCATTTGAAGTCCCCTTGTGTGTCATGCATGGTTAAGTTATTCTTTGCTTGTCATTTTGGCACAGGTAAGACTAGGATACTGTAAGATACTCTCTTGCTGGCCTGAAGGTCAAAGGTTCAAGTCAGCATCTAGGGAGATAATTATCAAAACCTACCATGGCTCTCAATCAACATAGCCTAAAATGGGTAGCAGATAATGCCCTGTGAAGTCAAGGAAAATGGCATAATGTTGATGACATTACCCATGATTGCAAACTGGTCTACAAAAATCAACATCTAGCAGTATATGCCTGATGTGTCAAAGGCATGACAGGGTCCTTCACCTTTTTATTACTTTGCTTTGACGTTTGAAACCTGAAATTACCTAGCGTGACTTCACTTGTTCTTTCCTTACACTGACAGACAATATACTTACTTGTGTGTCACTCTGAACCATCAGCTCATATGTTTGACCATTATAACCAAATCGAATGAGGTCTCCAGGTGCCAGACGGACGGCAGCATTTTGAACTCTGACCTCATTAACATATGTCCCATGGGTTGTGTTTAAATCTTGCAGAACATAACAGCCATCTTGTTCACTATATTCAATTTTACAGTGTTCATAGTCAACTCCCGGAAGCTACAACAGAAAGTGTGCAAATATAATCTTCCTGTAGTAATAGTAGTTATAGTAATTTAAACAATATTTTGCTAAATTCTGGGTTATAATTGGGACATATAGTTTCTGACTTTTCTGATCGTAGATATTTATATATTCATATATAAGCACTTAAGTCATCTCTCTCTCTCTCTCTCTCTCTCTCTCTCTCTCTCTCTGTGTGTGTGTGTGTGTGCGTGTGTGTGTGTAAATTTATATCATATGGACAATTCAAAAAGCACACACACTCCCACACACGTACACATGCCAGTACATATTTACAGAGTAGATAAAGCTGAAAATAATTATGGAACCAACTCTTTTTTTTTCTCCTGAGGAGCAAGCTTCTTTTTTTTATAAGTATGAGCTAATGTAATCATTTTAAAATTTGCACAAAAGTTGAAATTTAATAATTGCACTGTGGCCAAAGAATATTCTGGACCTGTGTACAATATTATATATATATATATATATTTTCACTTGTAAGAAAGTCTGAAACCCTCATTCTGCCTGCTATGCCTTTACACTGTGCATCTCCACTCATCTGAGAACATGACAGACTGCCATTGCCATCGAGGCCATTTGATGTGCACACCTGCCCACTGAGGTATTTTCTGTGTTTGATATGGATGAAGTCTAGAGTGTCAAAGAGGCTAGAGTGAACATATGTTTGTTTTCCTCAAACAACGTTAAAAAATAAAAAGTGTTTGGAGAAATATATCTGTTATTTGGTGGTGAATCCACTGTCCACTGTCCTTTGAGTATACTGGAAATTGTTTAGTAAATAAACTGTGTCAATAAATTGGTACTACCTTTCCATGATCACACTTGGTCTTCTTGGTGAGATATTAAATGTCCATTCATGCAAAATTTTTAATTCATGTAACAGCATTACCATTTCAGTCCTGTGGAGGGGGTATGGAGGGGGGGGGAGGGGGGGGTTAGCTTCAGGAGCCCAAAAGGTAGTAAGGAAAGACATACAATCAGTATATCTTGCATTCATTTAGCTTTTTAGGTGGGGACTTATGAACAGCCAGAAGGTCTGCCTTTATATGTTGTATCAGGACAGTCTTGGAAGACGTGATCTGTTATTTAAAGTGCCCATCCACATGTGCACATAGTTGATTCACCAACCTCAAATATTTTTAATTATTTTAACCAGCTAATGTGTAGTTAGGTTTGTAAAATCTTTAAACAATATAACTGGCTAATTCTAACATTATATATGAGATAATTGGTAAGTGTAATAACATTGCTTTATCAGTTACCAGAATGTTCAAAGGAGAATTACCTTAATGACACCGTCAGAACTTCCCTGGCCAATAGTTGTGAGATGTCGAAGAGGAAGGATTGTTCCATCACCCCCTTTTAAATGTGCTCTCACCATGTTGAATATTTTATTGTCTCTGTAACTTTGTGTTAATGACACATATTCTAAAACTAGAATAGATGGTTATCTATGGAAAGAGAAAATATAACAAATTAAAATGCCAGTTGGTCTACAACACATTTTCTTTTTTTTTTTTAAAACAGGTCTAGCAAGACACATTTTTATGGGGCAGAAACATGGGAAGCAATTACTAATAAATTTTGCGAACGAAAAAAGAAGATTAATAAATTTAATTTTTATTGTTGTCATGAGCCCTTTGTTCATCTACTGTTTAAAGCCGATTAATATGATAACACACATATTTAATTATAGATTAAGAACACATTCTGATCAAATAAATCTCCATGCTTTTTGTTTCTCTTGTTGCATAATCTACTGTCCTTCTCTTGTAAAAAAAAAAAAATATTTTATGCTGAGCTGTCTACTGAACAAAACATTTGTACACAGACACAACCAACTGTTTGTTAACCAGCTAGGTTACTAAAGATAAAAGTGCTAATGCTTTCACTAATTAACAACCATGCTTTGCGGAAATTAGTTTGCTACAAGTAACCAAATATCCTGGGTACCAAAAGGATCAAAGAAAGTAGTATTACAATTATGGTCAGTGGAAACAAGAGACAACAACAGCACTTGGAGTCACCAGCTGGCACAGAAGGTCAATCAGAGAGGTGAATGAAAGTGAGTGATATCTGCAACGATGAATCCCAAAGGTCCGCCTAACCATCCCAGTCTATAAGCCCTCATGTTGCCAGTAATTAGTGATAATTTAAACTGATTATGAATTTAACTGCTGTTCTACAGACTCAATTTTTTTCTGCATTTATTAGTTTTGATGGGTCTATAAATATGTAATATTATTTAGTATTATTAAATGAATGATTATTACATGCTAGGTTCAGGAATTAAAACACACAAGCAGGAAGCATATATACAGAATTTGGCAGACTTTACAGAGAGATAGAAGCTGGAGTGCAGAAGGCAAATACTGTCACATTTCAGCTAGCCTCACTGCACAGATGTCTCCCTACCATCAGAACAGGAAATTATGAATGGTATCTTGCTCACCAGTTTTTGCTATCAATCAATGCCAAACATGGAACATGAGCAGATAACAGAAACATAATATAACCATCTGAGAAATTAGATGTCTCCAAAAGGTCACCAAAAACACAAGAAGTGGAAAGGTCATGAATACTGGTATTGGACTAGAGGTTGAAACAAAACCATGCCTGAATTACATCAAAGGCTAGAAAATGAAGTGGTTTGGTAATCTAGTGAGAATGCAGAGAGACCAGACTGCATGTAAGGCCTTCTGCTATCCTCCGAATAACGACCACACATTATGTCGGCCAAAAACACACCCTAACAGGACCTCAGTCACATGTAATTTGCGGACATCTGGTGACTTAAATCGCAGACCGGCGACTATATCGCCACCGCCAAGAGTATTTCCTGTGCCGCTACGCACGGTGCAGAGCTGGGCTGAACTAGATGGCTAGGACTTACAAGCAGCAGCTTCCGCATCTACTGCAGCTTTGCTCGTGAGTCCCAGCAATCTAGTTTAGATACTCTCAGCGGTGGCGGTATAGTCACCGGAAGTCCATAGTTTACATGTGACTGAGGCCCTATTTTTTGCAGCCATAATATGTGGCCGTTATTCGGAGGATAGCTAGGCCATCTAGTACAGAAAAAAGAACATCTGGATAGAAAATGAGAGAAAGTCCAAGAAAGAACAATTCCATAACTTAAACCACTACAGAAATGCAAGATCTATACAGAAAACCGTGACACTGGGCTACTACCGGTAACAATGTGAAATATGATATATAAATTATAATGATATGCTAACTAACCAAGTATTCTCAGCAATTACCTGGAGAAACAGAAGTTAAAATTGCAACCATTTTCGTTAGTCTAAGCATTACTATTACACTAATGTGTAACTGACTAAATATTAAAATGCAAACTAAAGTTCTGTATTAACAAGGCATAGAAAAATATTCACCATCCCAGTAGAAGGAGAGTTCAATCCTACAGAAAATGAAATTTACTATTTACAAGTCAACAATTCTCAGCCATAACAACGACAACATCCGGAATCTCCAACCTAGTTACCCAGACCTTTCAAATATTTCATTTAGCCAAAAATAATAAATGTTAATAGCACCCAAATGAAAATGTTACCTATAATTTTAATCTGAAGTAATATTTAATTTAAAAAAGTAACAATATGGGTTAATTATTATATTTGTGGTGAAATTGACGTTATCGAGAACTATAAAGCTCGCATTCATAAAGAAACGAAAGTGGCTATTTCAAAATAGCAGACGTTTTGACTATTGTCTTTTACGAACAGATTACCCTCAACTCTCCTGAACTTATTAAATCATTATATTATTAATTATCAACTGAATGTGATGTAGCGATGTCAGATTGTCCACGAATGAGAAAAAAAATTTATTTTCTAGGCAGAAAATATTAAATGTATAATTAGTTGTTATCCACAAAACAATAGGTTTTAATAACCCTCATACGAGAAAGAGCCAATCCGGAAGCTCTATGGCGTCTGTGGTAACAACTTAGATCTGTCATCTAACGCAAATATGATGCCTGACCAAGAAACTGTGGAAGTTTGCGCGGATTTGCATTAACACTTCACTAATTTCATGTGAAAGTTTACAGCTGCCGATATTTCTAGCATACTTTACAGAGGACATGGACAGTAAACTGCACACGGCTGTTCGTTATGGGAATGTCAATGGGGTGTTGGAGGCATTGAGAAGTGGATTCAGTCCTAATGATATTGGGCTGTTTAAGTGGAGTCCGGTTCACGAAGCGGCAAATAACGGAGAGAGGGATATACTTAAACTCTTACTTGAGTACAAAGGTTAGCATATGCAGAACTGTTGCATGTTGTTACTCTTCTGTTATTGTTAGTCAGTTCTTCACTCCTATACAATTTGAACAACATTATAGGGTTGTCAGTGTCAAATCTTGGTTGCTGCACCCCTAGTCATCCAGGGAATGTTCATGAGCTCACGAAATTGTGGTGAGTGTAAGACTTGGATCGTGACTGCCTATAACTCTTGCAGTCTAGTATAGTGTAAATCTTTAGTCATCTACAAAATTCAACTTAGCATGTACATCGTTTTATTTAGCCAAGCTAATGTCAGCTGTCCTTAAAACAAATCATTTTTATTTAATCTTATAGAGTTATCTTAAATCTGAAGTGGTTAGGACATGTGTCTGCCATTACAGTAATAAATGACTGCTTTTATATCATTGGGCATATTGTTGCAAAACGACCAGGTGTCTAAAGGTGACTGATTATGCCTTACTCATATAGGCAAAAGTTCACCAAGCCTGGTGACTAATTGGGTTCCCTACCTGAGAGTACTAGATTAACACAGTTTACTTAGTCACATCATACCACTTACATGGATAACAGTCAGCAGCGAACCACATCAACAATCTGGGAAGAGTCATCTCTATAATCATGCATCAGTCTATTTATTGGGACAAAACACAGTATGACGATGAAAATTAACTGGTGATACAGGACGACTGTCTATCTAATACTCCGCCTATACACACTAATATGCTTCCAAGGCAGTGTCACATGAAAGGGAACACCTAGCCTTGACTTGACATGAGTCCACAACATACAATTATCCTTTGGCCTACTGGCCTATTCTTGTGGCCATTAGCAGCCCTAATGTACGCTTCAGTTTTGTGCTCACACTTTGGGTCACCAATAAACTATACATAATAACTGACTAGAGACTCCAGGCACAAAAAGTCTCCCGACACATGGTCCAATCGAATCCTGATGAGGGACGACACGATCACGTCCTGGCAGTTCAGCCACAACTCATCACCTTACTTATGTCGATCATAGTGGCAAATAATATGTTGGGCTCTTAACCCCTTGTCTTCATTAAATACACCCAACAGGAGCATTTTGACTCATACACCTAATTCTAATGAACAAGCTAGACTTTCACTGGACTAAAATGATACACATAATTACTGCTCAAAATTCAGACATCTGGACATGCGTCCGCCTGATCTGAACGATTGAGAGACACTAACTGGACAGGCATGGTTTCCCTACTACTCAGCATTCGGCCCCCGCATGGTTCTTGCTAAGCGCATGTAACCTGCTGCTAGTGGTGAAACCCCCCCCCCCCCCCCCCCCCCCCCCCAAAAAAAAAAAAAAACTCTTTCTCAACTTCATGCAACATGAACCCTTTGCCCATGTCTCTCTGTTACCACCCTCATCCAATGCCTAGCCTTTATGACTGGCGTAGGTAACCACCCCTCTGCTTCTGGTACTATTGACCAACATGATGTTAGACTTATTCTTTTAAAACCAACGGGCACTCGATGGGTGAGGTGTTGAGAATTATGCTAGCTACCTTTACTTTCCAGGTACTTACCTAGTGCCTGATTTAGGCTGGGTTGGCATGAGAGCCAAGGTCAAATTTGAAAAAACAAACGAAAATAAACTAAATGATTTTAATTGAAGACCTTTGGGCCAGCAGATGCATGTCTAGCCATTATTCCAGTCCAGTTCCCACAATTACAGTGGTCTATGTTCAGTCCTCAGTAGAAGCAGAATAATTTTTTTTTTCTAAGCAATTCAACTCCAGAGTGACCCCAGTCACAGGAACATGGGTACCGTAGACATTTTTCTGGGTATTAGACATGTAATTCAAATTGCACACATGCTGAGAAATGTGGAAAGATACCAAAAATGTTGAAGGAATTTTGAATTTAAAAAATCGACATCATGGCACTCAGGATACCCTTATAAGTGCTCTGTCCCCATCTTCAGCAGCAAACGAAGAATTCCAATTCCAACGGCAGAAAGATACCAAACAAACCAACCAATAAACACCCCCAAAAAGGTAAAGTGAATTAGCTGGTCTCTACATTATCACAAAGACAAACAACAAGTGAACGTTGCAACTAGAAAGTTTCATCAACACATTACATGAATATACAATCCCACAAAAATGAACAAGTAAAGTATACACTTCATCACTTACCTGAAGTGTCTCCAAGAGAAATCCACATGTTTGGCCAGTTGAATTGCTGACATGTATCTATTTAAAATAAGTGGAGAAATATGGAGATATGCATTCAACTTGTGATTACTGAAAGATTTGGGGAAAGAGCGATAGAGTGAAAACCAGAGAAGATTCTTGTCAACTTTCTGTCATAGTGGGTGAAAAAGGAGGGGGGGGGGGTGGGGTCAGCATATGAACTGATACATGTGGTTTAATATCACATGTTGTGAAGAGACATGATCATCCATGCAACTCAGCAAGGATTTTAGCGATGATGATGATGGTGGTGGTGATGGAGCTTGCTGCTTGCAGGGAGCCACGTTTAGCTGAAGAGTAGACTAGGATTGAATTTGTTCTCCAGGAAATTATGATGTTTTGAGAAGTAAACATGCAGACAGATTAGCATCTTCTGCATCACTGGGTCATTAACTGGTACGTGATGGGGCAAATTAACATGAAAAACCAAAAAAATCACAATGGCCTACAAAGAATTATGCAAAAGGATGTGACTAGAGAGTCCGATATACACTCATTGAAAGCAGGCTGATATATATATAATATTTATATGACTGCCACCGGTAGAACAAGATTAGGTCAGTTAATAATAAATGATTCCTGTGTAATGTTCCTAAACTGTAACATGGATTTGTACTTTAACCATCAGGAGATGTCAATTTACAAGACAAGCTACATGGTAACACACCCCTACACTACGCAGCACGAGAGGACAACTCCGCCTGTGTCACAGTCTTGCTGAAAGCTGGTGCTAGAATCGATCTGAAAAATTTTGAGGGAATGACCTGCCTGGATGAAGCTACACCTTTGTGTCGAGAAATTATACACAAGTTTGGTATGTACACTCTTGTATTGTTTCACACAGTTCAGTTCCGGTGTTCCTTTTTTACTTCCCTATTTTGTTGCTGCTGCATTGCTTTTTTAAGTGACTACATAAGAGTAATGATTTTATTAACTTCGTCCTTTTTAGGACGAAATTTGCTTTGTCTATTTGAAGCTGGCCTACCCTGATATGCTTTTGCTAACTTTTACCGCATAATAGGCTAGGCCATACATATGGCCAGAATGATTTCTGAACGCGGTTTATTTGGGACCTTCTACAAAACATGCGATCCTCATCCGCAAGAAATGGCAACTTTGTGTCATCGGGTGTTTAGCTGCGCTTGAGCAGCGGTCCTGGTAATGGTAGAATGGGTCAGTTCAGTCACCAAGAATAAGCACTTAGCATCATTTCCACAGCTCTCAGATGTAGTGGGTATATTATGCTTGCACCATCTATTTAAATGAAAACAGAATCTAGCTATCCAGGGTCGTTGCTCTTCTCAAGTGAAGTCAGACCCTTGACACCCACTTCATGCGAAATTATTCAAGCAAATAAATAATAGACTTAACTGAGGAAAATCCTGGATGCGTTGCGCTGAGGACGCTGTCAAACATGTTTACAACCTCCTGCACCAAACATTAACATTACAGTCCACATCACACCTGATGGAAGCTGTAGAGAGCAGATTCATGGCATTGTAGAAACTTCAGACCGAACAATGATTGACAAAAACCCAGATGAAAGTGATGCTATAGTTTACACAGATGGATCAGTAATTCAGGGCAAGCGAAGTTCACAGGCATTCACTGCAAGCTCAAGGGGAAAAACTGTCAAGGGGATTAATGGCACCCCTACTGTTACAACTAGGGCTGTACCGAATAGTGATTTTCACTATTCGGCCGAATACGCAGCTGGAGCATCATTGACGAATACGAATACCACATCATCATTCATCAGGTGCTTTGCCGACTGGCACGATTATCCTTGTAAATCTGCATTTGCAGCATGTATTAGTTGGATGTGCTGACACAGCTCCATGAATGCAACAAGACTCTCAAGAATCTTCTCTCGTTGTCTTGCTTTATCCCTTCTCATAGATCTTTCAGGTCACCACATGTTCCATTGTCCCCACTTATCATGGCGAAAAATGATATTCTCCTTCAAATAAATGAGTAGTCGCTTCGGGCTCCCGAGGAAAATCCTTGGTTGCGTTTTTCTGGCCGTCCAAGTTGTTAAGCAACCTCCTGTAAAACAGAACATGTTATTAGGCAATATACAGTCCGACATCATACCTGATGAAGAATGTACCTGTGAGGAGTTTATTTGTACATTTTTGTAGAAACTTCAACCGAACGATGTATTAAAGAAATCCCAGATGCAGAAGTCAACGCTCTATAGTGAACATTCAGACAAGCATGGATGCAATAATCTATACAGACGGATCCAACGCGAAGTTCATGGGCATTTACTGCAAGCTCAGCGGGAAAAAACTGTCAAAGGGGATTAATGGCACCCCTACTGTTACAACTAGGCTGACCGGATGGTGATTTTCACTATTCTGGCTTGAATACAAAAATAGCGTGGACTCAGTGATTCGGCCGAATACGAATACGGATAGTAAAGGCAGGTTCAGTCGAAGACATGTGCTTTGCCGACTTACAGAAGTCCACTTATGCCTTGCCACCTTTATCTGCGATCCGGGACACGCAGTTGTATTAGTTCAGGTGTGCTGACACGACCTCCATGGTGCCTATGCAATGCATAGACTGTCAAGAAATCTTCTCTCGTTGTCTGGTGGCAGTGAATCCCTCCTTCCAGAATGGCATCTTGGGAATTCCAGAGGTCAGCCACATGTTCCATTTTCCCTCATCTTATAACTTGGTCGGAAATAGAACTGACTATTCTCCTTCTGATGTCTGAGGGTAGTTGCCTATGGCTCCGCCTCTTTGAGGATAACCTCTTGGTTGCTTTTTAACTAACCGTCTAAGGTATCTAAGCACTGTTCTGTAAAACCACATCTATGAGGCCTCAAGAAATTGTTTGGCCTGCCTACCGATTGTCCAGGACTCACAGCCATATGTTAAAACTGGATGTATGTAGCAAGCAAGAAAGCATTCGCTTTAAAAAAAACACACACACACAATCGTTCCGTGTTGGCAGAATTAAGGCAGCTTCTTGTCTCACTGGGGGTATTTCCATCTGTACTAAACAGACGTTGTTCACTTGGTATACTCGTATGTGGTGCACAAAGTAACGCTTGACAGTATGAACCAAGGTGGGATATCTTGATATGTTTATTCCCCACTAGTCCAGAAATGAGTGTAAGGTAATCACTATTCGTATTCGGCCCGACCGCAACTATTCGGCCAAATACTGAATAGTTATTAGGTCCACTATTCGGCCCCAAAGCGAATACGAAGCGAATATTCGGTACAGCCCTAGTTACAACCAGCACCACACAACGGAAATGATGGCTGCAACAAGGACATTAGAATGGCTTGGTACTCAAGAGTTCACACTGCATGCTTAGTGACTCGATGAATATGTTTAAACAAAATCCAAGCTGATTTTTTCAGACAAGAATGGATTGCAACACTTAGCACTTCGTGTATTACTACCCTTACCAAGCATGCAGATCATCTTGTCAACACTGTGGTTGCTATGGCTTGTCCAGAACTGGACAGAAGTGATTTTATCAGTGCCATGGGCAGCACTTACAATACTGATAAGCACGCCAAAGGACATGACTCCATCTCTCTCCCTAGGCTGATGGACATGGAGGTGCAGCCTGGAGCTGTGATAAATGAACATTTCACTAACAGGACTAGATGTTTCATTAATCAACTCAGAACAGGTGTCATCAGTCGTTTTACACTTGTGGAGCTATTGAGGAGGAGATTAGAGCACCAATGGATCTATTTGGAGTGCTGTGATAATAATCCTTACTAATCACTAATATTTTCCGGTACTCAGTATTGTACTTGATTAGTCTGGGAGTACAGATATATTTTCTAAAGTCTGCTTGGATAGGAATTTAAACACATGACCAGTGTGCTGGCAGTCAAGTATGCTAGTCACAGAATGGTAGCCTGTTATACACAGTTGTAAAACATGGGGGATACTGACATTTTTATGGGCATATTGACATTTTTCTCTGCAGTTCTTTCAGTCCCAAACAGTTTTTGCTTTAATATTTCTATCCCAGAGTTGTACTTGAAAGCAGTAAATACTTAGCTCTAATTAATTAGTCACACCAGCTAAATCCTTCTGCATATCATTGTAAGGAGGTTTGAGGATAAATTGGAATATGAACTACAAGAGATACAAGCGGGATTTAGACGTGGTATAGGAACAAGAAACCATATTTTCAATTTGAGAATCCTCCTGAGAAGTGTAGAGAATACAAGATAGATCTTCATCTGTTTCATAGACTACAGCAAGGTGTTTGTCTGTGTGCAACACCATAAACTGTGGCATATAATGAGAGGCATGGGATTTCCAAAACATCTGGTGCACCTAATGGAATCTCTTTACCATGAACAACAGGCAGCGGTCAGAGTAGCTGGTGAAATATCAGAATCGTTTGAAGTGCAGAAAGGAGTGAGGCAGGGCTGCATTCTTTCTCCCTCCCTCATTAACATATATGCTGACAATTTTATGAGAAACGCAATTAGCGATGAGGATTGGGAGAGCTTCAATCCACTAAAATTTGGAGGTAATCCTATTCCAGAGCTCAGATATGTAGACGACACTGTTCTTCTTTCTAACAATGTACAAGGTTTCAAAAATTTCTGGCCATCAGAAAGCATAGTGAAGAAGTGAATCTTTTTCTGAATTTGAAAAAAAAAATTTCTCGGTAAATTCAGCACACCGATCACATATCACATAAGATAATGTAGAAAAAGAAAATATTACAGATTTTTAATGCCTTTGTATTCTATTGCTATGTTTAGATCTGTCTTCTTTTTTCCTATTGACATTACTTCTGTCTTTTCAGTGTTGATTCTCATATTATTTGTTTTACATTCTTCATTCATGGATGTTAGATGTTGTTGCAGTTTCATGGCTGTATCTGCTATCAAGGCCTGGTCATCTGCAAAGAGTAATTCGTTGATCTTACTAAGATCTTCATTCATGGGCTTGGCATTCTTGCATATACTGTCGATGTAGGTGATAAACAGCAGTGGTGATAAGACACACCCCTGTCTTACTCCAGATGTCACTGTGAAAGGATGAGATGTTCCCTGATTTATTCTAACTACACTTCTACAATCCCTTTATAAACTTTTGCACACTTCGATGAGGTGTTCACTTACTCCATATCTTGCCATTATTTTCCATAATAATTGTCTGTCGACTCTGTCAAATGCCTTCTCCTGGTCTACGAATGCCACAAATAAGTTCTTATTGTATTCAATGTTCTTTTCTATTACCTGTTCAAGTGTAAAGATTGTATCTGTGCAGCTTCTATTTCTCCTAAATCCCATCTGTTCTTCTGCCAGCTGTGGTTCTATCACTGGTCTCAGTCTTGCTTCTATTATCTTGGCATACATTTTGCCAACATGGCTTAAAAGAGAGATGCCTCGATATTGACCGCATTCTCGTTTGCTTCCTTTGTTCTTCCACAATGGTATAACTATTGCATGTTGCCAATCAATAGGGGCCGTTTGTTGTACCTATGCTGCATTGAATATTCTGTGAAGCCATCTGATGCTGCTTTCACCTGCTGCTTGAATTATTTCTGTTGGTAATCTATCAGCTCCTGGTGCTTTATATTTGGGAGACTGTTTAATGACTTTTTCTATTTCATCCATTAGTATGTGTGGTTCTAACACTGTTGCTCTGTGATCTTCAGTTGTTCTTTCCTGATGATCTCCTAGAGGATTAAAGAGCTCATTGAAGTATTCCCTCCATTTTTCTGCTATCCCAGGTGGATCTGTTAATGGCCTTCCTGTCTTATCATTAATTATTTCAATGGGGTTGTAGCTCTCATATCTTTTCCGCATGTTTTT